ATGTAGAATGTGACTCCTTCAACTTTTAGAATCGCGATATCTCAGGAATGGTGATTCTTAGAAAAAAAGTATAAGGTCCATTTTTGTAGATAATTTCAAGATCTATAATTTTTGTCTGGGCTACTTTTTTGAAAAAACCAGCCCAGCTGGCTAAATTTGGAGATATTTTTATTGGGGTTTAAAATCGCCGGTAGCCGAATGGGGGTTTACCAAGGATAATTACATCCATAAAGCAATTAACTCTGTTCTCACTTATTTCTAGAAGAACTATAGTTGAGGTCGGGACTTCTTTAAAACAGTGCTTCAGCAGTTGTTCTACCTAGACCAGCCATCTTCCAACTTATTAGTAATGACCACGCTTTTGTTAATGGTATTGTATGTCGTGGCATAATTCAATTATAAAAAGCAACTGAAAGCAATCTTTACACATTTGACACACAAAATGTCAGTAAACCGTTTTCTTGGAAATGATTAATTAATATTTACAATAGTCCTCAATCTATGTACGTTTTTTTTTAATAGAAGTGTACAGTCGAACAAAATGAAAATGACGCCTCAATAAACCAGCCCCTGCCGACCCTTCCTTCTAACCGCAAGCAGACAGGGTCGTAAATTATCGGATTGCAGTTTCAACATAAATTCCTCTTAGAGTTGGTTTACAGAAAGCCAAATTAAAATTTAATTCAGAATTAAACTAATTCGAATTAATTTGCCATTTAATTTAACAAACCATTTCTTAAAGAAAATTATGCATTAATAGTGACACTGACGAAAAAACAAATCATTATTAACTTAATATTTTTTAACTGTTTTTTCAAAATAAAATTAATTAACATAATTTTTGAACGAAATATGTTTTCTCTATTTTAAACTAGATTTTATGTAAAACAACAAATGAATTAAACTATTGTTTAATTGTGAGAAGAAAAATTAATTCCACGTGTGCCTTTACCAATTCTTTGAGTAGAAGCGAAATTAAAATTTAATTCAGAATTAGGTAAACTAATTCGAATTAAGTTGCCATTTATTTTGCATTGACAAACGTTAAGTTTAAAATTTAATTACGATTAACACGTTCTGTAAACCGGCCCTAAGTTTTCTATTAGTTTCGCAATTGTCATTGAAAACGAATCAAAATTATTTATTTAATTAAACCAGGAAAAAAACGGCCAAATTATTTCAAATATTTTAGTTCTGATTTTTTTGATAATTGTAATACTTTTAAATTAAATAAAAACGTTTAGTTTTATGAAAACACAATTTAACAAAAACCAGTTCTTAAAGAAAATTAT